GATTTGACATGCACCGTGCTTTAATAATGCGATTTCTCCGATCATAAATCGACCTGACATGCATTATTAACATGAGGACGCATCCAAACCGGGCCTCATACATATCATAAAGACACCTGGTCTATGAATACACTCGTAAAAACTGAATAATAAAGCTTCCAAAGGACATGGGCTGGGGCACAGTGGCTCAGTGGTTAGCACGGTGGCCTCACAGCAAGAAGATGGCTGGTTTGAGTCTCGGCTGGGTCTGTGTGTGTTTCTGTGTGGAGTTGGCATGTTCTCCCTGTGTCGGTGTGGGTTTCCTCCGGGTGCTCCGGTTTCAGTCCAAACACATGCGCTATAGGGGAACTGATGAACTCAATTGGCTGTAGTGTACAAGTGTGTGTGTGTGAATGAGTGTGTATGGGTGTTTCCCAGTATTGGGTTGCAGCTGAAAGTGCATGCGCTGTGTAAAACATATGCTGGAATGAGTGAATGTCACTCACTTACTCACTAATAGTCACTCACACACACACACACACACACACACGCACACACACACACAGATTAGCATCCGGCTCAAAGCAGCAGCACATCAAAAGCAGCTTTGAAGCGCAGGTGAGGGCGAGGGCGGCCCCGTGCCGACAGAGAGGAGAGGATTCTGGGTAAAACACACAGCTTTCAGAGCCGGAGGAATCTTCAGCGGAGCGGGAGATAAACGCAGAGCCTGGGAAAGAGGAAACCTCCAGCTTTACTCCGGATCAAACACACACACTCCTGCTGTGAACGGGGATTGCGCTTATATTCGGCCTCCATCAAATATATCGCACTATTATAATAGTGTCTGCCATGTACAGTTATTCACCTTCCTGTGTGTTTTCTGTTTAACAGAGAGCAGCGCATAATATTAGACTAGATGTTCTTCAAGACACTAGTGTTCAGCTTACAGTGACATGTAAAGGCTTCACTAGGGTAATTAGGGTAAAGTTAGGGTAATTAGGCAAGTCATTGTATAACAGTGGTTTGTTCTGGAGACAATCCAACACTAATATTGCTGATAATATTGACCTTAAAATGACTTTAAAACAATTAAAAACTGCTTTTATTCTAGCCGAAATAAAACAAATCAGACTTTCTCCAGAAGAACAAACATTAGAGGAAATATAGTGGAAAACTCCTGAACCTGTTCAACATCATTTGGGATATATCTGACAAAGAATAAGGTTGTTTATCTAAGTTTGACCAGTCAGATGAGGCCTTGCTATTTTTATCCCCGCCTCCTCAGTAGCAGCTGTTCTGCAATAGGCTGGAAGCTGAACCCAGAGCTGAAAATAAACACTAGTGGGTGGAGTCCAGACCAGAGAATAAAATGGCAACAGCCAATCAGAGTCAGAATATCTGCATATCAGGTCTACGCTCAAGCAGGTTTTAGGCTGCGTTCATGCTTGGTTCAATTGCCTGGACCGTACCCAAGTTCGATTGTTCCCCTTCTCGGTTGGTTTGTGTTTACGGTCAGTGTATCTTTTGGTCATTGGATTTTCATTTTAGAAACAGATATTAGAAAATTAAAAACGTAAATGAGTCTGTCTGGTTTCAGAATATAAAAAAACAAGTCTTTATTCGTTTTTGTTTTCTGGTCATTTTAATTTTTGTTATTCAAAATAAAAAATGAAAATCAAAAAAATGTTTTTAATTTAGTTTTTTTGTTTTTCATCATGAAAAAGAAAAACTAGCCTTTTTTTAAATTTTGTTTTAAAATTCGAAAACCAAAATCAAAAAACGCTTTGAATTTCAATTTTCGTTTTTAAATTTTAAAACGAAAATCAATAAGCGACTCGTTTTTCGTTTTTTAATATCTGTTTCTAAAATGAAAATCCAATGACCAAAAAATACACTGACCGTTTACACTGTCTGTTTTTCTTCTGAACCCCGGTACACTTGCTTAAATTACGCTTAACCTTGACTCATATTGTCAGAAAACAAGACAATATTTGTTCCTTGTCCAAAAAAAAAAACGCTTCTTTTTTTAAGAATGTTTAGATATTTGGACTAGAAACAAGACTGAAACTCTAAGTAAGAGAGCACTTGTGTAATGTAAATGTATTACACAGTTAAATGTGAATGTGAGTAATGCATCTCGTCTTAATCCAGTCATTTTATACTAAAGAATGGAGTGCAAATCCACACACGCATAATCCACCATGTGTTGTGTGTGAATTGTGTGTCTGCAGAGCAATAACCGTGCGTGTTTTCTCCACCAGATGCTCCTGTCCTCCATCCACCAATGAGGACTACGCAATCACAGATGGGAAGGCGATGACAAAGCGTAATCAAAGAAAACAGCAACAATAAATAAATAAGTCAATGTTTTCCTCTGGGTGAAGCAATTATTTGATCACAAATGAGTCAGGTAGCTCACACACACACACACACACACACTCTCTCTGCCCTGCTTTATGGGATATCCCCGAGAGCGTGCGATGGTGTCTAGCGGTTTTTAATTAATGTGTAAGCCTGGCGATGTTAATTAAACGCAGACTGATCATTACCCAACAGGAAAGATCATACGGATGCTCGCGCTGCAAACACAACCGAGGAATGACTCGAATAATTCATTCAGATTTCCTTTTTCTCAGTGCGGATGTTGAGGTAAAATAGCCGCATATTCAATGAACTGCTGCTTTGCCCATGTGTCTGCATCAGTGTGCCCCTGTTAGACATGCTTCAATATCCAATTCATGTAGCAGTTTTTGTTATTGTGTCCTAAAAGGAAGAAGCTATACTTTTTTTCACTCATTCACCCCTACATTCCTCCACTACACTGTTCGCTTGCATATATAATATTAGAATTATATGAAATTAAACATTGGGGGTTAAGCCAAAATTTAGCTGACCTCAGACTGAAGGTCTGGAAACTTTGGCCTCTTTAAATGGTTA